CAGCTTGGGGTGCACGGCCGCGAGCACGTCCCGGTACCGCGCGCCGGGCGTGCGCTGCTGCTCTGCGGCTTCGAGCTCGTGCACGGCGGCGAGGAGCGCGGCGCGGGGCGGCGCGGGGGAGGAGGAGCCGAAGAGAGGCGCCAGCGCGGTGGTGATGCCCGTCTCCCAGTCGATGAGCGTGCCGTAGACGTCGAAGCAGAGCACGCGAAAATCGGTGAGTTTGGCCATGACGGGACGGATGGGTAAAATATTGGGCTTTGCTTTGGAATAGGCGTTTTGCTTGAATCGTTGTGTAAATAGAATGATGCTCTGTTCGTGATGCTTTATACACTGGCAGCACGCCCTGTGAGTCGTCAATCTGTACTCTGTGTGGGTCTGGACGCGCCCTACGGTTCGCTACGCCTAGGTCAATCGATGTTTCGGGGGAAGCCAGCATGGAAGATTCTAGAGGCCATTGGATACATTGTTTTGCAGGGCTTGGGTAAAGCTGGAGTTGCTCTGCAAATGATGTTTGCTGCGTAGAAAGTTTTGTGTGCCGCTACCGATATGCGGTGATAGCCAGTCAAGCTCAGCCTTGAACAAGCCCTGCACAGCCAAGACATAACCTGCGACACAAGTACTGATTTCTTGATTAATGAACTTTTCAATGCGAGACCTTAGTAGCCCTCCCATCTTGTTTTAACCCTTATTAATAAGTGCCACTGCTGGAGACATGACGAAAAGAAGGCAGGACATTGTGCCCCAACATGTGTAACCTGCTACCCTGCAATCGCACCGCTACCCCGCAACATAATGAATCGCCTGTCGCTCTGCACTCAGTAGGTACACCATTTCGAGGCCCCGAAATTCACCATTTCGAGCACATAATGGCTAAATCCCGTCCCGATCCCATAATCTTCGAGCCCAAAGTGGCGCCCGATTCTCCTGAACAGGCCTCGGCCGTCATCTTCCTCCATGGCTTAAACGATGACGGCGAGTCCTTTCGTGGTGCGTACCCCAATCTGCCATCACAGGCCCGTAACAACCGTGCCAACACCATGCAGATCTCGTCAACCAGTACCAACACGCAGATAAGCTGCCTCATACGCTCTGGGTCCTGCCCACGGCCGCCGAGCGCAGCGACGCCATGATGCGCGCCTGGTACCGGCCGCCCAAGCTCACCCCGCGCCCGCCGCCCCGCCCGGAGCTCGAGGACGAGGACGACTACGAGGGCATCATGGAGACCTGCCGGTACGTCATCGCCATCGTGCAGGACCTCAACGGCCGGGGCATTCCCACGCACCGCATCGCCGTCGGCGGCTTCAGCCAGGGCTGCGCCGTGGCGCTGGTGCTCGGCCTCGCGTCCGCCTACGCCGGCCGCTTCGCCGGCGTCTTTGGCCTGATGGGCTACCTCCCGCTGGCGGCCAGGCTGGACAGCGTGCGGGAGGAGCTCGCGCCCGGGGCGAGCGTGGTGGAGCAGCCGGTGCTCATCACGCGCGGGACCCGGGACATGCTGCTGCCGGCCCGGTACTTTCAGGCGTGCTCCGATGTGCTGGACCGGCTGCAGATTCGCAAGGTAGACAGGCACGAGTATGATATTGGACACGAGGTGCACGGAGAGGGGCTGGCAGACTTGTGCACGTTTTTGCAGGAGAGATGCGGGTTTTAAATAGTTGTATTATGAATTAAGCATGCGTGCCGTAGTGGCAAATGACACGATGGTGTGGACGCGGTCAGATATTGGCCGCGACCGCACCACCGCGTCTTATTTTTTTTTGCGAAAATAATGGACATGAAAGAAACGTTGCTGCTATTGTAAAACCCATTCCATGCCTGGCCGACTAGTAGTAGACGGGGTGGTTGGGGTCCGTGAGGTCAAAGATGACGGCACTGTGAGGGCGCTGGGGTTTGTTAGCAGGGAATTTTCGTGGCCGGAGCAGGAGAATACATACAGCGCCACCGCGGGTGCGAGTAAAGATGGACTCAAAGTCAATGGTGCGGTTGAAGCTGAGCGCACCGTTGTCGAGGATGTCAATCCAGTGGACCTTGTAGTCGCCGGGGGTGTTGAGGACCGAGATCTGCGCACAATAGTTAGTCGCTGCCACCTCTTTCAAAAGCTCTGTGGTACTTACATCGCCGGCCTGCACAAAGTAGCCGCAGACGAGCAGGTTCTTCTTGTCGGGCGAGATCTTGACGTAGTGGGGTCCGATGATGGGCTGCTGCTGGTTGGGGTCGTCGAGGCGCTTGACGTTCTTGAGGTCCGAGATGTCGAGCGCGGCCACGTGGTTGCCGAGCGTCAGGGTGAAGTAGGCAAACTTGCCGTCGTCGGAAATATCAGAGTAGATGGCGACCGACTCCTTGGCCTTGGGGCCGAGGTCGTACAGCAGCTCGGCCACGCCCTGCTTGCCCTTGGCGTCCTTGCGGAAGGGGTAGATGATCCAGACCTGGCCGTTCTTGACAGCACTTCAGGGGGGGAAGATTAGTATGAGGAACGATGGGGAGTGGTGGACGGAGGAATCTTACGTGGCAATGGCAGCGCTCTCGGGGTTGCCGGGGATGAACTTGACGTCCTGAATACCTTGGCCCTGGCATATGTGTTAGTGGATTGGTAGCAGGAAGAGGGGGGCGAGGGAGGCGTACGTCGGGAATGGTAATGGTGGAGATGATCTTGCGGTTGTTGAGCGTCCACAGGCGCAGAGTGTTGGCCTTTTGGATGCCGAGAGCAGAGACGGGCTTGAGGATGCTCAGAGGGACGACAAAGTCCGACGTGAGGATGAGGTTCTTCTCAAAGTCGACGCTCAGGCCGTGGGGGCTGAACTGCTCGCCAAGAATGTTGAGCTATTCAAGGTTAGCGGTGAACGAGTACAAGTTTCGTCCAGGGCAAGCTTACCGTGCCGTCAACATCCTCGGGCCACTCGTGGAGAATGTTGCCGTAGCCGTCGGTCTCGACAAGGCGACCGGGCGAGGTGCCAACAGCGCTTCCCATGTAAGTGATGAGGAAGCCACTATGACATGTTAGTAAACGAGTCAAAGAGGACATCAGTGAGTGAAGGAGGCTTACCCGCCGGGCAGGGCGCGGATCTCGTCCGTGATGGAGCTGAGCACGGCTCTGTTGCTGTGCTGGAACTTGGGGTGGTATGGGTCACTCGAGTCCCAGTAAAAGGCAGTATCCTGCGTCTTGAGCAGCGACAGCAGACCGCCACCGACGAGCGTCTTGCCGTCCAGCGAGGTGCCCAGATGATGCGGCGAGTTGCCACTGGTGGGCACATCGGCAATATGCAGGAACTCTCCAAAAGTGTCCTATGACAGTCAGTCGTCATCTAACAAGCAGGACACGGGGAGAATTTAGAAGTTTGTGGGCTTACATCATCGAGACTGATGGCGGCGAGGAAATCCTTGTGGTGGTTGTCGCCGGCGCCGGTCCAGATGTAGCCAATCTTCTTGGCCTTGATGTCCTTGGTCTCAAAGGGCGGGCTGTCGAGCGCGGGCGTCGGCAGCTGCAGGATGGGCAGCGGCGGCGCCAGGTCGTTGAGCGCCTCGGTCACGCCGGGGATGGCCGGGATCAGCGGCGGCAGGCTGATGCCCAGCGGCGAGCGCCGGCTCACGCCCGCGGCGGCCGAGGACGTGGGCGAGGCCGAGGCCTTGGCCACCAGCTGGGTGGCCAGGACGAGGGCGACACTGGCAAAGATCATGTTGGGCTTGCAGGCGGGGAGGGAGCGCAGGAGGCGGAGGATAGAGGTGAGCAGATTAGAGAATGAATGCAAGTGACTGGCTTGTGTGATGGGAATTGTGAGCAGGATATGAGAAGGTTATTGGGTATTTATATCCCATCGCGCGTCCTGTCGTCCCTATAGTTCAGACCGAGCTTTTTCTTCCTTGCTACACCCGCCTTCGCTTACACGACTACATCTATCCCGGAACTGATGCCATCCAGACCGAGACAGGCCAGCAGCCAGCCCAACAGCACCGAGAGAAGCAAGGCACGAACAGAGAGAATGTCTTGGACGTCTGGCCCGATTCCGCGTAGCGCAGATGGCGACGAACGCCACAACAATGGCGGTTTTCGAAGCAATACAGCAGGAGCATCGGCCGCTCGCGCTGGGCCGGCTCGGCGAGGAGCTCGCAGGGAGAAGCTGGGTTGCGGATCTACAGTCCAGCTGAGTGATGGCGAAGTGAGACTTTGTAATTCTGATGTGTAGATCAGGACGAAAAACAGGCTAGATGAATTTTCTGATGGCATCATGTCGTTGTTTTTCGCGTCTTGGCAGGATGGCGAATGGAACTAGTTTGGCAACAATGCTTTCCTAGACATATGTCTTGTGTTTTTTTTTCTTTTCTTATTGTACTCGACTGAACCCGAGAATGGATTCCATATCGGCCGTATACAGTCCGATTGCATCTTGAACAGCGGCAGGGGCGCACAATGGCGCACCTCCGTCCCAAGCCTCTGGGTTTGGCGCCCCAGCATGCAATGCAGGCCCTCGCTTGGCATCCTCGGACTTTCCTGGGCCCCCCCTCCCGGGCATCGAGTATAAAAGAAAGCATAATTTAAATCGGCCCCGGCCAAAAAGAAAGCCACATTCCCCAGCCCGGCAGTTGTTCCTGGGCTGTCCGAGCGTAGGGGTGATGGGTTGCGCAACACAATTGGCGATCCGCATGGCGTGATCGAGCGAGATCCCGCCCTGGGGAAAAGCTCCAATGCCGCGGGATACCCAGAAATGCCGCATCCAATCGGGGCCTTGGCAAGATGGCTTGCAAGTTCTGGCAGCTAATGAAAAAAGAACCAAGGTCAGAGACAACTTCATTAAACGGGAGTGCGCGAGCTGGTGCGTAGCGCGCAACATCCTCATTCCGCGAGTGCATGTCGCCATCGATCTTGGCTTGCGAGCAACGCCGTGACTGGTACGGCGAGGTCAGGGCAAAGAAATAAAAAACAAACAACAAAGCTTGTAAATGGAGCGAGTCTTTGTCATTTTGATTTGGCCAACTATGGATTCCCAATCAAATCAAACTCGAAGTAGTCTAGCTGGGCGGACTCGTGAGGCCGAACGTGCATGTGGTGCAACAAAGACTTGATAATATAAGAGCCAGACCCCCTTTCTCCTTTGTTCTCCATAGTGTGAACAAAGCCGAAAAAAATTGTGTAATTGCATTCCTGCACCATCAACCACCATGCGTGCTGCTTCCGTTCTTCTCGGCCTCGCCGCCTCGGTGCTCGCCGCGCCGTCCGTCGCACCCCGCGACGGCAGCGACCAATTCGCCCAAGGCCAGCCTATTAGCAAAGACGGCAAGGGCGGTCGCATCCTAGGTACGATTTGACACCCATCCCCATGCAGCCATACACTCCGTGGCACGCAAAACGACAGGATCAAACACTGACCATCGCAACAGGCGGCACCAACAAGGCGCTCGACCTGCAGAACCCCGATAACCTCGGCCGGCAGTCCACCGACGCCGGCGTCGTGCCCAACCTCAAATGGAGCTTCTCCGACTCCAAGACGCGCATCCTCAAGGGCGGCTGGGTGCGCGAGCAGGTCGTCACCGACCTCCCGTCGAGCCACGACATTGCCGGCGCGCAGCAGCACCTGAAAAAGGGTGCCATCCGCGAGCTTCACTGGCACAAAGTGGTACGTTTTCTTCTTTCTTCTTCTTTTTTTTTTCTTTCCAAAGGAGTTTTCAGGCCCAGAGAGGGCTGACAAGAGACGGATGCGCAGGCCGAATGGGGCATCGTCTACAACGGAAGAATCACCGTCTCCGCCGTCGATGAGAATGGCGTCTTCCAGGTCACCGAGATTGGCTACGGCGACGTCTGGTACTTCCCGCCCGGCGTGGCGCACACTGTCCAGGGCCTGGACGACGAGAACGAGTTTCTGCTCATCTTTGACGAGACCGACTTTGACAAGATTGGGTGAGACGGCCGTCCCCCTCCCCAACTCAACCCCCCCCGACTAACACTGGCCCAGAACCACATTCAACCTCGACGACTGGGTGGCGCACACGCCCAAGGACATCCTCGCCAAGAACTTTGGCGTGCCCGAGTCCGTCTTCAAAGACGTGCCGACGGCCAACCCGTACATCTTCAACGCCGACATCGCAACCAAGAACGTCACCGGCGCCGTCACGCCCGAGGCCACCGGCGACGCGTCCTTTGTGTACCGCACGCTGCAGCACGCGCCCGAGAAGATTGGCGGCACCGGCGGCACCTTTTACAAGATTGACTCGACCAACTTCCCCATCTCAAAGGAGATTGCCGCCACCTTTGTCACGCTCAAGCCGGGCGGTCTGCGTGAGCTTCACTGGCACCCGAATGTATGTTGAGAACTTGTTTTACTCCCAGCTTACCAGCTTTGGAAAAAAAAAAAATACTGACTGACAAATGCAGGCCGAGGAGTGGCTGTACTTTCACAAGGGCTCCGCCAGAGCCACTGCTTTCATCGGAGGCGGCGCGGCCCGCACCTTTGACTTTTCCGCCGGTGACACGGCCGTCTTCCCCACCAACGCCGGGTAGGTCTCCCACGCTTCCATGTCCATATTACAGCATGATACTGACCAGGGTATAGACACTACATTGAGAACACGTCCAAGGACGAGGACCTCGTCTGGATCGAAATCTACAAGTCGGACCACGTTGCCGACATTTCGCTCTCGCAGTGGCTCGCCCTCACGCCGCCCGAGATTGCCGCGCAGACGCTCAAGGTGCCCGTGGAATTCATCCAGCAAATCAAGAGGGAGAAGCAGGTTCTGATTGAGTAACTCGCAAGATGTTTTAGACTTTCTCGAACGCGGCGCGGGGTGGGAAGGGCTGCATTGTGCGATTTCTTCACTTCTATTGGCGGGGCGGTATCCGTCTCAACGGCTTTCAGCAACTTGCAATAAATTATATATCAAAATGCTGTTTAATACATTAATTGACATGGTATCCCAAAATGAATATGCATTGTGACTGACAGCGATCAAGTCCCAAGGGTAGCGGAGCCTAGTTCTTGACATCCGCGGGCGGCTGTGTTTGTGTCTGCAGGGGTTGTGATTGGATTTCGTGTTGCGAAACATCTGCATGCTGGAGCCCAGATTGCTGCACATTCTGACTGGGAGCCACCTGAGGCTGCTGCTGCTGCTGCTGTGGATTCTGCATCTGCTGCTCCTGGCCGTACTGCGAGGCCACGACCTGCGTCGGCCCCAATACTTGAATGGCGCCCTCGTTCCGGCGCATCGCAATCTTGTTATTGCATTCCGAGCAGAACCAGTCCGTGTCCTCGAACCAGTGGAGCATGCAGGGCAGGCAGGTCAGGCAGATGCAGACGAGGCAGAGAACGCCGCCGACGATGCTTGTATGGCGTGAGTGCGTGTCCGAGGGTAAGGGCATCTGCTGGCGGGGGAGAACTCACAATTGCATGCTGCCGCCTTCTTTCTTCACGACCGTCTTGGTGCGCTTGTGGCAGAAGGGGCAGTCGACTGATTGCGGCGTGTCGGCGAGCTGGTGCAGGGGCACGACTTTCCGGGCGGCCTGCGCTGGCGCCGCGTTGGCAGGCGGTTGGCCGACGGGAGCGGCATTGGATTGTTCGTAGCTCGGGGGATGGTGTTCGGCGGCGGCATCTTGGGTCGGGATAGGCTGCTGCTGCTGATACTGCTGCTGCTGGTACTGCTGGGCCTGGTCCGGAGACAGCTGGTGCGGCTGCTGCTGCTGCTCCTGGAGCTCGTGGGGTTGTTCTTTGCTCATGCTGAAGGTTTCCGTCCGCGGTGAAATAACGAGGCACGGCTACGTGCGAGAACGCGCAGGCGCGTCGTCCTATATAGGTGGCATGCGTGCGACAGGCAAGCTCTCGCAAAAATTCCCAGAACGCACCTGTGGATCGGCTAGGCTGAACTGCATATTATTCCCAGTCTCGTGTCGGTCTCAGGCGCTTCGCAGCGGGGTGGTCATGTCAATACTCAATCCATCACAGCCTTGACTCGATTGTCCATTTTTGCCAAGCAACGCCAGAGTCAGCCTCAGCTAGGCGCAGTCGTAGCACGTTCTGATACGAGCAGTCATCGTTGGATCGATTCGAGACGACGCATGAAGCAGGGCGTAATTGTGATACCCACAAGGCGCTGCAGGGCGGAGGCGACGAGGATGAATAAGGAAAAGCTGCCCGCTTCGTGGAGATGAAGGCGATGAAGGCTGGCAGCCAACTGGACGGCGTTGAACAGAACGAACGGTTGTGGCGCACGGGCTGTGGCGCGTGGCTGTGCGCCAACTTGACAGAACATCTGAACATCTTCCACGTCGGCAAGGCTGATAAGCTTAATTCATTCAGCCACACCGAGCTATTTCCATTCCTGTCTCCGATTCGCCGCCTGTTGGCACGTGTTAGGTTACAACTTCAGAGCCAAGACTCAGGGCGTACAAGAATTAACAACCACCAATAACTGCAACACCACTCCTCCAACATTCTTCCTCCAACATCTTCCTCCAACATCAACATTCCTCCAACCACAACAATCCTCCAACCGCAACAATCGACCTCGCCCCAAATTTCCCCCATCGCGACAATTTCCCATCCTCTCCTCCTTCACCTCCTCTCAGACAGGCGATATGCAGGCTCGACTCGGGAAAATCGTCAAAGAATTGCCAGAAACACAACGACACCGCCCGCGACAGACCACGGCGAGACGGACGTGTGGCCAGCGTCGGCACGGAAGATAGTGATACGATGCATAGATTCGTCAGTGATGGCACAAGACGTCAGAGCAGCAAACATTGTCATAGCCGCGGCGGTGAGCTTCATATTGACGGATGTGTAAGATGGTTTGAAACAAAGATTGATTTAGGGCAAAGTCTTGAAGAGGCCTGGCAGTAGGAAGCTGCAAAACAGGAGCAACACCGTCTCCTTTATACCTGTGACTGTCAACAAAGGCGCAAATTGTCACGCGGGGCAGCGCACAGGGGTGAGAGACAGAAGCAAACCATTGCTATTGTCCTTTGCACTGTCGAGAGGGAGCAAACCAGCCCCGAGATCCACAAGAATGCACAGATTTCTGGCAATGAAGTCATTCCCAGTACTGACCTACGACGCAGGACTTGGGATTCGCAGAAACTGCATGCTAAAGAGAAGTACCTGGATCCCCCCCTGCAAATGAACTGTTTGCTCTGAAGTGTCAAAAAGGGAAACCTGGAGCTTGATGTTTCACCCCAATAGCCCCCAGCCATTGAAAAATGAATCACACCCGAACCTGTCGAGTCCACTGCAACCACTTTGGCGCACTTTGGCGCTGATGAGATCGGCGACCTCGGCTAAGGCCCCTGCAAGATGACTGTTTGCTGCAACAGTCAAGCTGAGCTCGTCCGTCAGCTTGACAGGTCACTTCAACAAACGGTCAAGTTCTTTGCACCATCATCCCGACCGGTAGTAGATACGCAAGACATAACACGTGCCACAGATCAAAGCCTTTCTACCTACCACGACTAATCCCATACCAGAACGCTTTTTATAACCTCTCCGCCCTCCATCTTTGCCCGCGCCGCCACAAACTCCCTCGCCGGGAAGTGCGTCAAGAGCTTCTCCATCGGCAGCGTCCCGTCCTTGACCCAGGAGACTAGTTCCGGAAGCGCCTCGGCCGGATCTCTGTCTCCCTCGAGCACACCCACCAGACGACGGCCGTTGACCATGTGGGCTAAGACATCGAGCTCCAGCGTAGCCCCCACGGGCTTCAACCCCACCTGGAGCACCGTGCCGTTCTTCCGCAACGCCTGCAGACACTGGTCCAGAACATGGACCGAAGGTGAGGTATCGAGAACATGCGTGCAGCCGAGAGTGCCGGGCGTCACGCTGCGCAGTGCCGTGGCCATGTCCACCCCTGTACCACGGAGCACTTCTGGGGACGAGTTGAGGCTGTGCGTGGCCCCAAGGGTTTTCGCCAATTCGATTCGTGAATCGAGCAGATCGACGGCAACGATGGTCTTGACACCTAGCTTCTTGGCGGCACAAACGGCCGCTTGGCCCACACCCCCGAGACCAACAACGGCAAGAACATCATCGGGCTTGCAGAGTCCAACATGGGTGATGGAGCCAGCGCCGGTCATGATGCCGCAGCCCAGCGGTGCGTACATTTTCAGCTCCTCGGCATCCCTGATGAGCTTGGTTACCTTGGCCGCGCACGAGACCTTGACCGGGGCGTGGCTGACGAAGCTCGACTGCCCGAAGTAGCCGCCGCCAATGACCTGGGACGGATCGCGGGCGAGAACAAAGTTGGGCTCGTTGGCCGTGAGCGTCACGGCGGCATGGTTGATGCAGAACGCGGGGTGGCCCGTCTTGCAGTAGTGGCAGTCGAGGCAAGCGGCGGCGGAGAGAATGACAAGATCGCCCTCGACATACTGCTCGCGCTGCGCGCCACTCCCGAGTTGAAGAATGCGGCCAGCTCCTGAGGTACTGTAAGCAGCCGCTGACTTGAAAAGGGATTGTACATACCCTCATGCCCGAGGACACGCGGATAGATTCCACCGTAGCCCGAAATGTCTGTATGGCAGACTCCTGTCGCAATCATTTCCACAAGAAACTCATCCTCGTGTGGCTCTCGGGTGAGGAGCTCCTCCCACACCCACTCATGTTCCGAGTAGGCTACGATGCCTCTGCACTTGATTGTAAACGGAGATGTCATTCTTTGACCAGCCCTGTTGCGACGAAAAGAGTAACCCGTGTGATCAGTGATGAAGTAAGATGACTGGGAGAGCATAAAGTCACGACCTCGAGGCTAGTGTAGAGTCATTGGAACCGAGACCCTTCCCCGCATGCACTAGGGAGGGGAACACCAGGTTGCAGGATGACAGAGGTTCGGATAAGATGTATCCGGATATATCTCGCTTTCCTGCAGCATTTCCAGTACTACATCAGATATTGGCAATTCGCCACAGATCTGCGTTTCATGCCACAGACCTGCGTTGCACCATGGAAGAGACAGCAAGAGAGGGAACATTTCGTAGGCTTAGCGATGTATACTCTACAGTGCATTGACAAATTCGGTGATAATCCTATTCACCTGCTCCGCGCACTCAATATGCGGCCAATGCCCACTGTCCAGCTCCTTTGCCGTCAGGTCGGGCACCCACTCGGCCAGCATGCCCCTCTGCGCCGACATCGCCTGCGCATCCGCCACAATGACGCTCGGCTGCTCCAGCGTCGCCCCGGCAATCGCCTGCTCCTCCTCGAGCGAGGCGTTCGTCACCAGCATGCGATACCAGCGCGTCGCGCCGCTGTACCCGCCCGTGGCGGCAAAGACGGCCAAGTGAGCCTGCTGCATCGCGGGGGTGTACCATGCCCCGACGGGGATTTTCCTGTCCGCGGTGACAAACTGCCGCATGGCGCCGACCGGGTGGAGGTGCGTGTTCCACGCGCTGCGGTCGGCGGCGAAGAGCAGGCTCATGACGGACGGCGCGTGCGCCTCGAGCACGGCGTGCGGGTCCTCGTCGCCGCCGAGCCACGACAGGTACCCAAACATGGCGAAGCCGGCCGCTTTCTCGGTCGCCTGCTGGATGGCGTCGACGTCAAACCGGCGGCCCGGGCGGCCCGAGCCGACCGCCAGGAAGACGAGGCCGCGGAGGCGCGTCGGGTGGTACGTGGCGAGACGGCCGAGAAACTGGGCGCCGAGGTCGTGCCCGACGCCGACGACGGCGGGCAGCCGCAGGTGGTCCAGGATCTCGACGACGTCGTCGCTCATGCGTTTGAAAGTGTAGCTCGCCACGGCGGCCGGCGCGGTGGTGGCCCCGTACCCGAGCAGGTCCGGGGCGACGACGCCGTAGCCGAGTGGCGCGAGGTGGCCGGCTTGCCGCTCCCAGTCGTCGGCGTGCGAGGGGAAGCCGTGCAGGAAGAGGAGCGTCGGCTTGCCGTCCCGCGCGGGCACGTAGATGAAGGAGTACGTGTACCCACGGGAGTTGAGCAATGTGCGACGTTCGGAGAGGAGCATGTTTACGGATGATGGATGTTTTTCGGCAGATTTTTGATGCGACCGAAGACTTGTTAGTGTAAACGAAATAGCTCGGAGCCGGTCAGTCGGCAAAGGCCCAACTTTAACAACAGGTGTTTATATCTTGAGTGTAAACTGAACTGGGTCGAACCCGGACTAAACAGGTAGATCAACGTCGCCACCCTTTGTCTACATACACTACGTCATGGTCCATCCTCACTAGCGACTGCCAATCCGCCAAGTACAAGCATGAGCTATGCAACCAATCTCAGCACCTCTTATATCGCAAACCCCCCCTCTGTAAAGTCTACAATCCTCTTCAGCGCCACCAAGTCACCATCCATGGTGCCAGCCTGTTCCGGCGGAACCCACGTCGGCGAGGACACGCCCCCGAGCCCAGCCAGCCACGCATTCTGGCCCTCGTCAATCACCACGTTGCCCGGCCGGGCGTCGCCCCAGACGAGGCGGTTCTGGTGCAGCCCGTGCACGGTGCGCATCATCTGCGCCGACCACCGCCGCCGCACGCGCGCCGGCGCCCCCGCACCGACCGCCCGCGTCAGCGACACGGCGCCGTAGCCCACGTCCGCAAACAGCATCCCCAGCACGGCGCGCGCGTCGTGCACGAGCCCGAGGAGACGCGGCACCTGGACGCAGAGCGGCGCGGCGGCGCGGATCCGGTGGTGCGCGAGCAGCGTGTTGTGCAGGAGCGTGTCGTCGCCGCGCCGCAGGAGCTGGAAAAAGGCGCGCGTCCCGTCGGGGAGGAGCACATGGTGCGGGACGGATGAGAGAGTGTCGTCGCGCGCGTCGAGGCGAATGTTGAGCGGCAGGTAGCGCGGCCACGCATTGCAGAGAGCGGTGGTCAGGGAGGCGCCAAACATGAAGTGCGTTTCGGGGCCTTGCTCCTTCGGATGCACAACCATCTTGCCCGATTCGACGCATAGTGAGTACTCGACGATTGGCGAGTATAAAACGTCGCCGAGTGTGATGGATCGGCCGTAGGACCTGGGTATCCCTTCGTCATCTTTGCGGAGGATGGGGAGCAATGGTTCCAGCGCCCAGCTGTAAAAGTCGCTCCGGGCGCGGGCGTCTTCTTCAAACTGCTCCAGTATGTCGGGGGATATGTTGAAGAGCGCGCGCAAGGCGGGTAGCGCTGCGAAGGCGGCGTCTGGAACGTGGACGACGTACCGCACGTGGTTGCACATGACCACGATGCTAGGAGGCGAGTAGCTTACGTCAATCACACTCCATTCTAGCGTGGAGGTAGTGTTTTGAATAGGACTCTCATTCATATTGAAGTCGACTTAATGCTTGTAGACAGCAGGTATGTATTGAGGCTTCCGAGCGGTGCCATGTGTGCTTCTATTAAATGTCCTCACTGCTGTGCGACGTCATATCCCCTGTCGCCAGTCTTCGGCAATTTTCCCACACCAAGAAATTGAGATCTTGCCCAGTTTGCCAGAGGATCATTGCACAATTGTTTACAAAGAATGGCAAATCTAAAATAGACGAGCTGCGACTAGGGCGTGACGTCCTCGCGAGAAGCGATGATGCCAACGCCACTGGCGAAATTGGGTGTCACAATGGCAAACTCGGCAAGCATCTCTGTGGCACGGATAAAATAACCTACTTTGCGGGCTGTCATACCCAACTATTATTAGATGGTACCAGAGGTTTGCTGCGTTTGCTTTTACCTTCACTCTTCGCTTCGTAGCTGCAGCCGAATTCGGGGCCTTCCGACGAGATCTCGGGATAACCGTATCTGGTAGCACGTGGACTTCCGACTTAAAAAGTAATCACCATACATTCTCTATAAATGTCGCACACGTCGTAGTAGTTGTGCTCCAGGCTAGATGTTTGGTGCCGAGATAGTATGGCGGCGCCAGGCCCGCGAGCAGGGAGCGCCGACTATCTCATGCGTTCTTGTCTGCTTGCAGTCTGCATTGAATTGACTTCACATGTTTTAACGAGATACTATCGCCACAGGACAACACAGGACAGGAAAGAACCCTTCCACGGCTTCTGTTCCGCAGCCAAACTAGTCCGGAGAACCTGAGTTCGGAGCTCGGACTTTCCTAAAGAGGGACAGTTATCCATACTCGGACACTTCTGGAATCAAATAGATCTTTTCATTTTTTTCCGCAGCTATACCCACTAAGCTAAATAGCAGGTTTTATAGTGATGACACATGGTTGTATTTGGCCCAGTTGCTTGGTGTTAGAGGTTGGAACTGTTCATGTACTGAAACGGCCATTGCCAAGCAGGATAAACGATTTCGCTATCGTGGTCATGGAATACTCCTTTCGACATTAATTAATAACTGCGACATTGTTTTCCAATTAAAAACTGAAATCCTCATTCCACTTCACGTTTCACTTGCCACCCACCATCAGCTGGTTCATCCGTCGGAGCTCGGGCCTTTGACCTTCCCAATGCGGAAATATTTTCTCCGTACTCCGGCTGCCGACGTAATTCGCTCTGTGGCAAGACTTGAAGTGCGAATATAGTATTTAAGGGCACACTTACCTTTAAAAAGAATGTAACTAGTATATCTTTTCTCTATATTTACTTTGAGTGAGTTGATCTCTCCAAATCTACCATCAATAATGACGCTCAAAATCACGCGAATTCAACGCCTGAGTGCCGTAATCGGCATCTCTTTATCATTCTTCATCGCCGAAATATCAGGTCAGTAAATACGTAATATTGCCTTCAACTCTGGAGATCTATACAATAAAAGCGACAAGTGCCTAACGAAACTTGGCCCAGTTGGCTTCTATACAGGCTCATTAGCCCTCGTGGCTGATGCTTTCCACTATGTATGCGCACTTTGACTTGCATGATGGGCGCAAACTAATGTTTTCTAGCTGAGTGACATCGTTGGCTTTGCTGTTGCTCTCGCTGCTGCCATTGTAGGTTCTTTGACTGACGCCTCTGCACACGCCACTAACCGCGCTGGCAATACAGGTCGCAGAGAAAGCCTCAGTACCTCCGTCTTTAACATTCGGCTGGCAGCGAGCGCAACTACTGGGTGCCTTCTTCAACGGCGTTCTATTACTTGGCCTAGGCATCAGCATCTTCCTACAGTCTATTGAAAGGTTCATCAGCTTGCAGCGTTCGTATCCCCGACTAGTTAAGCTTCCGCCAGAGGCTAATTCCTCCGCGCTTCTAGGAGTTGAAAACCCCAAATTGGTCATGATCATCGGTTGCGTGGGCTTTGCCCTCAATCTGATTAGTGTATCATTTCTACACGGTAAAGCTTTGCCGCACATGCGATCCCCAGATGTAGACTGACAAGGTGGTGCAGAGCATGACCACGGCCACGAACACAAGATTGGCCACAATGATCCTGAAGACGAGCGCGAGAATCACGATGACAATGGCCAAATAATTCCAGAGGAACCAGCCCCTGTCAACAAGAAGGTATTTTCCCATGCACAACCTTTTTTTTTTCGGGTTTCCTCATCTCACCATTTCTAGCACCTCACCCACAAACACCACGCAAATGCGACTTCCCTCCAGCCTCAGAAGAACTTCGACCTTGCTCTGATGGGCGTCTTCATCCATATCATGGGCGACTGTGCGAACAATGTCGGGGTGATCATTTCAGGACTGGTCATTTGGCTGACCAACTACGGCGGCCGGTATTATGCCGATCCGGCCGTCAGCATGGCCATCGCCATTATGATCTTTGCCTCTTCGTTGCCCTTGGGTCAGTGACATGAACTTGCTACAACGCCAAAGGCACATGCACGCTACCATTGCTCGCTGCTGACATTTCGTGTTCCACTAGTGAAAAGGGCCGGGCTGATTCTGCTTCAAAGCGCCCCCGAGGGTGTTGAGCAAGCCCATGTCAAATCTGATTTGGAGCAGGTAAAGTGATGTCAAAGCCACTGCCAACCTGCAGATGCGGCGCCGCAATTGCTAACAAGCATGCAGATTCCTGGAATCGCCGCGGTCCATGAGCTTCATATTTGGCGCCTGGACCAAAAAAAGTCTCTTGCCTCGGCACACCTCGTCCTCGATGAGAGCGGCGATCAAGCTGATTTTGATGCGCTGGCTAAAACGGCAATGGAGTGCTTCCACGCCTACGGTATTCACTCGGTGACGCTTCAACCAGAGATTCTTCGAGGCCGCACGGCAGCGGAACAGGCCGGGGTGGGCAGTCACCAGGATGGAAGCGCGAACCTAGCGAAGGATTGCCGGCTGCTCTGTGGGAGGCTTTGTGAGGACCTCTCGTGTTGCCGATAAGCCTTGAGATTCTACAGGAAAATTCGGGGAAATTGTGAGCCGGATTAAATACTTGTGTTGGGAGCCCAATGGGGCAGTTATTTTCTCCGTCGGATCTCGGCCATCTCGGAGATGTTTGTTTCCGAAAATAGTAGACAGAGCCCCACACAACTTTGCCGTCACATTCGTCTTCTTCCCGGTCAAACAGCAGCGAGTCTTGCATCAATGCCACCAAATGTGACTTTTTAAAATTGTTCCGGCTATCTGATCGACAGAGCAGAAGATTGGTGAATTGGAGGCCTCAGGAGTATAGCGCCCCATGTCCCGTTGCCGTTGATGCATCATGAACCCTCACGCCGAAGAGCTGCGCCGTTCGAAACGCAGCATCATGAGGGTCAATCGACAGGGTGGTCCCGATGCCCGTCGGAGAAGTCGAAAGTTGCTGTCTTGCGCCCCGTGCCGGAGCCGCAAGGTCAAGTGCGACCGCGCCAAACCATGCATTCAATGTATCCGTTCGCGGACAGTAGAGGCCTGCGATTATAACCCCGGTCCTCCGCCCCCCTCCGCTCCTTCAGCCGGTCATCAACCCTCATCGCCGTCACCTATACCCGTATTACCGCGCTCGACATCGCCTACTTCTGCTTCTACGAGGGGGGCCGACGGTTTACGCCCGGCGCGGCCGCGGGACTGCTCTACTCTCCCTAAGAACAATTCATCGTTGATCGGGGGGCATGGCAGCGCAGCAGGGGCATCAGCGTTCCCGTCCCTGCTACTCCTTGACACGAGTCAGCTCGGCCAGCGATGTCCTGCCGAGTTACCGGCGGCCAATCCGCAGCAAAATAGCCTATTTTCTTTTCGTGGCAAGCAAAGCCGAACCAGGTTTTTTGGGCGCAGTCATTGGGCTTCTACGTTGCAAATGGTCAGTCGGCCAAAGCTTGCCAATAGCATCTCCATGCACCCAGCTCACCTGTTCTTTTCCCCAGTTTCCCGATTTTGTCAATCATACACGCGACTATATGCAGATGAAAGACAACCCCGCAGCTTCCAGGTTTCATGAGTATCTGTCAGTCAAACGTCACGAGCGCGACCGGCGGCGACCTGTGACTACCAATGACCTCCAGAACTCGTCGGGTCTAGAAAAGGCCCGATTTGTTGATTTATTGCCTAGTTTTGAAGTCGCAAATCATCTCATCAACCTCTACATGTCAACCTACGAGACAACGTTCAGAGTGGTGCACGAGCCCTCTTTTCTCCAAGACTGGGCAAGCTTCTGGGACTCGAGGCTAGAAGATTCGAGACGATCCGGGTCGGAGGACATTCTTCTTGCAAAATATTTGACGATGATGGCTTGCGCAAGTTGTCTCGCCAATGACACTTTTATTCTCGCCGCGGGCTCGGACCAGACGGCACTTTCGCAACTCTCCCATAAATGGCTGCAAGCCGTCGTATTGTGGTTGGATTCGATCCCAGAGCATGCTCTCCTAGATCTCCACGTCATGCAAGTCAAGTGCTTGTTGGTGACGGCTCGTCAGGCCATCGCATGGTCCGGCGATCTCGTCGGTATCATGGCGGGCTCGCTCATACGAGAGGCGGTCATGATGGGACTCCATCGTGACCCAGCACTCTTCTCTAACATGTCCCCGTATTGGGCAGAGACTCGTAAACGCCTATGGCTGACGGTTGTTGAGACTGAGCTTCAGCTGTCGCTCCATTTAGGCATTCCTTTGGCACTTTCGTGGGAAGACTTTGACTGTCCGTTGCCGATCAATATCGAAGATGAGCACTTTTCACCCAGCTCCACCTCGATGCCTCCAGAGCGAGACATTTCAACTCTCACAAAGACGACTTTCCAGATTGTTCTAGCCCAGAGTCTACGAGTGAGAATGGAAATTTCGAAACTGATCAATCGCGCTCGGCTTAGGATGGACTCGAATGAAATCATGAGTCTCAGTGATTCTCTGATGAGCAGCTTGAACGAGGCCCCGGCGCAGCTACGCGACGATTCTGGGACAGGAGACGCCAGAAACTATGCTTTCCAAAGATCGTTTTATATGTTTCTCATATGGCGTTCCATGCTGGCGCTTCACCGGCCAGTCTTTTTGAACCTGGTCGATGTCGGGAAAGAAGTTTACTCTGTCTCGCGAATGCATTGCGTCCAGGCCAGCGTAGCCTTGTTGGCGCAATTGGAGCTTGTTTCGCAAATCTCGGCTGATGTGACACCTCGCCCAGTCGACATGTTTTTGCCACATGTACTGCGCCTGAAAGGGGGGCTCTTTCAGGATGACATCTTCCATGCCGCGCTTACTGTTTGCCTGGAACTCCGTCTCGAGCTGAAGGACAACCAACCGTCGCTCCTTACCGGCCGAATCTCCAACCTCGTCAGTCAAAGTGCCCTATTTCATCGCAAGGCGTTGTTTCAGAGTATCGAGAATGCTTTGGAGTACTTCAAGAACAAGGTACAGTGGGAAGCTCGCGCATGCAAGACCTTTACCACTCTGTGCATACTCCACATGAATTTGGAAAGCCAGTTTGCCACGCGCGCTGCACCCGTGACCAACGGAGGCGCATCATCAAGCCGGCCGGCTTTGAGTATAGAGGAGGCCTGTCCACTGGCTTCCCGTCGTTGCCTCGAGTTACTCGAGGGTACCAGGCACAATAGCCACCGGAACCCGATCCACGATGAAGATGACGACGCATCTTTGCCAAATGTGAGTTACAGTCATGCCCCTCCGTGTCTCGCATGCATAAGAAGTTGAAATGCTGACGAAGACCTCCCCCCAGTCCGGTCCAGACGAGGTGGTTCCAGGTAGTGCTCCTTGGAATGGTGACATAATGACGGATATGTCGAATAAGGAGATGAGGGATCTCGCTCTGGCAAGTGTTTACAGTGTGTTTTTGAGGTTTCTTGATATGCTAATATCATACTCTCGACATCAGGATGATCTGGATTTTGATTGGACCATGCCGCTAGAACCTTTACCCTTTTTCCCGTTTGAAAATTGGCCAAGCATGAACCCTTCGCTGTAGTTTGGACCATGCCGCTAGAACCTTTACCCTTTTTCCAAGCATGAACCCTTCGCTGTAGTCTGTTTTGCCTTTCGAAATCCCTGCGCTCTTTGATTGCAAAGGCTTTCACGAACGTTTCATTTACCACACTTCCATTCCATTCGTGACAAGGATATGGCGAAAGGGCCGCCCTCCCGCACACACCTTGAACAGTCGGCGTGTCCTGCGGGTGATGAATGCCAATTTTGGCATGCACCGCACATCGTGTCCTGAACCTTAATCCCCGTATCCACCGGGGCTGGCACATCTTATCTGACATTTTTTCTTAGCAGTGCGTATAAGATATATCGGTCAAACGACTCCAAGTTTATTCTGTCTAAATACGCGATAAGGTCTAGTACATCAAGTCAAGCGATCAATGCCCCAGTATCCAGCCTCTGGCATTGTCATCTAGTTTCCCGGTTCCATTGACAGGACTGCATTTTAAGGCATCTGAACATAAAGACATGCTTAAAACTCAGTCTTTACAATCAGTTGCTTTTCGCAAATCCTGCCAGCCTTAGTTTCCCGCGGCTGCGTTCTTGGACTGAT